TGTGCCTTTTTGTGCTTTCATTAATTTTCTTTGCATAGATATTTCACTTCCTTGATTAGATTGTTTCCCAATCATTTTATATTTTTTGTACCTATTATAAATGGAATTGCTTTTTTGATTTATTTTTCAGATTGTTTGTTAGTGCATATAAATGTTATTGACTTTTGTATGTATATTTTGTATCCTGCAACTTTATTTATTTGTTCTATGGCTTAGAACAAAAATACCTGGGCATTAGAGCCAGACAGCTTACATTAAATCCTGGCTGCAACATTTACCAGCATTACAAACTTGGGCCCATTTACTTAATCAATTTTCTTATCCGAAATATGGGATAATAAATATTGTATTTATAAAGTTATATAAAGCTTTAAATGAATTAATGTGCCAGAAAAGAACTTGACACATTCTAAATGCTGTCTTGGTCATGATCATTGTGACGATCATTAATCTCATTATTATAATCTAATTTAGAGTCCAAATTATGCTTCTCCTTGGAGCAGACCCATCAACTGACTTTTGGGGGCCTCAGCTTCTCTATACATTATTATTATTTAACTGTCAAAAATACAATTGATATCCTTGTCTGTTGGGGCTGCTGTGTAACAATATCATAATCTGAGTTACTTATAAACAATAGAAATTCATTTCTGATATTTCTGGAGGCTGAGACATCTACAACTGAGGTACTGCCAATTTGGTGTCTGCAAAAGGTCCTCTTCTTGTTTCTTCAATATCGCCTTCTAGCTGTGTCCTGACATGATGGAAGAGGCAAGGTGGGGAGAACACAGACTTGCAGATGACAAGCCAGGGAGGACAATCCTCCACAATCTGGGGAGGGCACAAACTTGCAGATCATAGGAATTTGTTTTGCAAAGGATACATTTGACAAAGCTTAAGAGTTTCTAACTTTCAGAAAACACCAAAGGATTTGTTACATAAAATAAAACTAGGCTTAGTTTATGAGTTTAATATTTTTTAAGTGAGAGAAACACAACAGATTCAGTAGCCTGAATTATAAACTGGAGGATAGAAGTATAACACCTTTTTTAGTACCATACCCCCTTTTTCCAAATGGCTTTGATTTCATATTATGACCAAGAGAAGGAAGGATTTGAAAAGACAGAAACAAGAAGGTCAGGAAGACATAGAGTCTGAAAGAGTCTGAAGGAGATGTAGAAGGACTGAGAGTAAAGGAAATATTGTAAAAGAGAAAGAAATAGAAGAAAGAGGAAAGGAAAGACTACTGAGAGGTAGAGAGGGCAGGTCAGGAGAAAGGAGGAAATGTTGGTAACATTTATGGAGCCCCTGACATAACGAAGCACTTAGCTCACCTCATCAAAGAATTCTGGTGAAGTAGATATTGTTGCCATCATTTTGTAGATCAGAAAACAGCAACTAAAAGATTTTAACTTGTTCAAGGTCAGTTATGTTCATATGCAGACATTAGAACCTACATTGTTCCAGAGATCATTGTAAGGTCCTGGTTCCATGTCCTTAAGGACTAATGGTGAGATAAAAAGTACTTCCCACAGCTTGTTGGGACAACCTTAAACAGTGAGCCTGTCACACCTAGAAAAGACTCATTTGGGCTTAGATGGGATCATGTTACCATCTCTTAATACTACCTTAGAATCTTAATTATTTGAGTGGATACACCTGAATTCTAGTTCAAGAGTCTCCTCTAATGATTTATGCCTGAGGATAAGTCACTCTTCTGAGCCTCAGTATCCTCCTCTGTAAAATACAGGCCTTGGACTGGATCAACTGCCAAATCCTAAAAATCAATGCTTAATGTCATGCTACCAGATTTTTGATCAATTGTTAATCATGAACTTTTGTATGTCCTCAAGCCATTCCAGTGCATGGCAGGAAGCAGTGATATGAGGAATATTCTCAGTGGTAGTAACAAGTATCTACCAAAATGAAGTGGTGACCCCAAAGCTGTCTTCACACAAGGGAGGGCTGTAATGTGGACTGGGGAGCAGGTGCATTTCATTGCATTGGTTAGGTCCACTATACAGAATTTTGCAGGTTGTTCCCTGTACAACTGTAGGAGGCAATATTCACACCCATAAACATAGGCTGAGGCCCTGGCTTCAGGAAGCTAGAATGAGGACCAATGGGTCAAGGAAAGAATAAAGGAAACTGTGGCTCAGTAGAAAAATAAAAAGCTTTATTATGTTCAGAATTATCCCTAAACATTGTGAAAACTAAAGTGTTTAGGGGAGGCCACATGACATAAGGATTCAACTTTTGGATGAGCGTTTAGAGAGTAGAGAGTATATCAGTGCCATTTGAGACTGGTTTTTAATGTAGTTAAAGCTACCTGGGTGAGCTTGAACCTTAATTTCTCAAGTCCATGTTATGACCACAAATCATAGTACCTACTTCATATGGGTCCTATAATTATACAGGATATTTTCTGTATGTGTATGTATGTATCTTTATTAACATCTCTCTATCTCTCTATCTTAGCACAATGCCCCACACATAATAAAAGTTCAGTAAGTGCTATGATTATTCTCTTTGCAATTACAGAATGATGCTTTCAACACAGCAGAAATTCCTGTTACATCTGTAGGCATAGGACTACTGTCCATGTCTGAAGGCAAAGAATGGCCTTCAGGGGTATCTTGAACCTTGCTATCTACACAACCATCAGGGGTATCTTTTTCTATTTTTTTTATTAAATCATAGCTATGTACATTAATGCAGTTATGGGGTACAGTGTGCTGGTTTTATATACAATTTGAAATATTTTTACCAAACTGGTTAACATAGCCTTCATGGCCTTATCTTACTTATTGTGTTAAGACATTTATATTCTACATTTAGAAAGATTCACATGTACCCCTGTAAGATGAACTATACCAATCACCCTCCCTCCACCTATCCTCCCCCCTCCCCTCCCCTCCCTCTCCCCTTTACCCATATTCTTGGGCTATAATTGGGTTATAGCTTTCATTTCTATTCTTAACTTTAGGGCAAGCATCCAACATAAAATCTGTTCTATCTTCAGCTTGGGGCCAGAATCTGGTTCAGGTGTAAAGATCCCCCCAGTTGTAAGGAAAGATAGTGGTTCAAAATGATGTGTACAGCCTACCAATTTCTAAATTAACCTGAAGAAGGCTATTTCTAAGTCTTTAAAATGAAAATTATGTTGACAAACACAATCTCTACCATGACTCATAGCACAGCATCTGTTCCAAACCTTTCAATCTTGTATGGATATTTCTTCACTCAGAAATTAATTTAGTTAATTCAGCTCAAAAATTCTATGGTCAAAAACCGTATGATTCCTGTGGGAGTATCTTTTCTTTTATTGATAGGAGTTGTAGATGGACCTGGAAAAAAAATGTGATTCCCTTCTGCAAATTGCAAAGATGCAGCTATCAAAGGTAATCATGGCATCAAAACAACTACATGGGGAACAAAAGTGTCTTTGGCTGCTTTATAAGAAAAATAGTAAAGTCAATTATTTATACTCAGTGAAAAAACAGAGGAAAGGCCATGACGTTTACAGTTCTGCTACTCAGCTCACATTCCTCAGTGTGACTCCATACAAGCCAAAGTCATCCTTTCCTACAGGACTTCACTTGTGCTATTTGAGGAGACTGTTCTTGATCAAACTTGAGTCAGGCTTCTCTGGGCCCTGTTTTCCGCTACACCTTGACCTTGGGCTCTTTCTGTGGCCCACTTAGTGCAGTGTTAGCAAGAATCCTGCTGAATCAGTTTAGCAAAGTTCCCTCATCCTTGGTACCTGATCAAATTTCTCATCTTCCACCATATAGCTTGTCACCCTGGCCTGTCTTCAAGAATCCTACTATGACCAGAGTCTCCCTTACCCCTTGTTTTTCTCCTAGTAATTTTCCATCCACTGATGCCCTCCCCAGCTGCTTAGGTCTATATCTCCAATTGTCCTTGTATTCAGAGTTAAGCCCAATCTCTCTCCCCTTCTGCAACCCACCCCCACCATTGTAGTAATCCCTCTTGAATGAACTTTTTCTTATGGTCATTAGAAAGTATCATGAATAATTTTTCTTTAACATTCTCCTCCTACATTAATGTTTCTGCCATTTTCTCCACTTTATTCATTTATTTATTCAAAACACATTCTTTCAGAATGAATTTATTAAGTCACTTATACATCTATCACTGCTTGGCCTGCTCGCATTTACAAGCTGATAGGGGTGCTAAAATGGCATTAGGCCATGTTATTCTCCCCAAGGAAACCTCCTCTATTTCCAACTCATAATGTCTTTTAGCTAGTGTTTTGATTTCAGAGCGTTTTATGTTATTTACTGTTTGCCCTGTGTGGGTGACTCTTTCCCCGGTATTATCCTTATGTGCTTTAAAGAGAGTGATCTGGCTCAAGCAGCTGCCACTTTCTTATCCCTGACCAGCATTGGCTCTGCTCCATCCTCTTAAACTCACCGTGTGTTCTCCATGGAAGTGAAGCTGGTTCCTCCCTTTTCTCTGGGACAGCTTGCTCTTTTTTGTGTCTCCACTCACATTTGTAGGGATACTGAAATCTTAACATCCTTTAAGATCCAAACTGAAGTCTTTTAGACTCACTCTTGCTCTCTCTAAATTCTATCATCTTATCAATGAAATAGCTGAAGCTATGAATACGTACAGTGTCTATAACATTGTGTTATTTGCTAATGCTGCTGGTAATAATACATTGTTTCTAGATATTATGTTATTTTTTTCATTAGTTCATTTTATTCTTTCCAACTAGGTTGATGCTTCCATGTCAACAAAACATACATCTGCATCTTCCGCTCACAGTGCCTGACCCAGTGTTGAAAGTGGCATCCATCAATAAACACAAATCAAATAAGAGACCTGCAAAGTCATTATGGGAAGCTAGTGTTAACGACCTTCTCTTTCAAGTGTAGAACTTTTATAAAATTATTATTCTCTATAGGTACAAGTGTGTCTCATTAATGCAGTAGACTCACTTTTAAAATAATTCCAACATTTCAGATCTTTACCTGAGTCTGCCATCCTCTGCTGCAGCACCTCCTGGTATAATCTTCGTAATAAATATGCCAGGGTCATCTCCAATGTGGGGATTATCTGTCCCTCCAGCAATACTGAATCCCAGGCCAGAATTCCCCTGAAGAAACAATAAGCAGATATTACATGATGTGGCTGTCACCTAAAACCTAGTTCCCTTTGCACTTTGCATCATCATGTTACCACTCAAATGGAAATCAGTGGATCACAGTTCTTATGTAGAAAGCCGTAAAGTGCACAGTCAGCAGACAAAGGAAGGTCAGGAAAAACACTCACGTTTGTCCCTGCACTGCGAGAATTCAGGAGGCGTTACATTTTTGCTTTTAGCAAAAGCTTCCTTCATGGAATCAATTTATGGTTAAAATGATCATTATGAAGGAGGAGATAAAAGCTCACAAAAGATCGTGTAATATGAAAAAAAATGCAAAATGTCGTTGGAGTATGTTATAAAACTTATACCTTCATATGACAAAGCATAGAAAGAAATAAGTTACTTAAAAATGTTTGATTTGATAGAATAAGGGAAATTATTTTGGTATTACTCCAGTATCACATATACATCACAGAGATGTGTTCCTCTGTTTCCTCTGTAACAGGGAACTTGGACTTCAGAAGGCAGGGCCTTTTCCTAGAATCATACACCATGTGAGGTACTTTTTAACAATAAACAGCCTTTAATTTGCAGTTGCAAATAAAGCAGTCTGTAATAATGCTGCCCCATGCAAATGTGAGTAGTTTATATTCTAATAAACCTTTCATACTTACTCCTATAGATGATAGTAAGTGATATCCAGTGCCTGAATATATCCTTCTAAAATTTGTACGTGAAGGCATAATTAAAAGTGCCCCCCAAATCCACAAACTGTCTTACTTAACATATTTCTTATTTATATATTCTTTTAATCCCCCTCTCCATGGCTACATTATGTTTCTATAGTTGTGTTCACATTTTTTTAAATTCAGATTATTTTTTAAAACTGTTCTGTATAGCTAGACAGTCTTTATCACTATCCATTTTGAATGGCTAAATAATGTTTCATCAAGGTCATATAATATGACATGTTTTAACAGTCCCCTGTCACTGGATATTTAATTTCTCTCTGTACTCTTACAACAAATATAGCTTACTAAATTTATGATCACTTGATTAAGTTCTACTCTTGGGTAAAAAGAGATGAGGACCAAGAGTTTAGTACTTAATCCAAAGAAATTAATTAGGACAATGAATTCGTCAGAAAAGTTCGATGTCAAAATCAGCTTAGTACTTAACAGTTATAACACTGCAAATGTCAAGGTGTGCGCAGACTCAGCAATTTTTATTGACTAAATTAATAAACTGAAATATAGAGAGTTGTTTTCACAATTGTACATTAAAATTGAAAGGTTAAAATAAGTAATTCAGTCACGGCAACTAAAATTCCATGTCTTTATATTTCTGCCTACTTTAATTCTTCTTGCTCTTTGGAAAATTCAAAAGTTCATTGAACAGAGATATCCGTTATTAGCAGTCATGAGATGATGGGTCTGTTTAATTTGTATTAAATACCAGCTCTGTGCTAGGCACTAGAGTAAGCCCTGGAGCTACAGCCAGAAATGTGTCAAGTTATGAGGAATATGGAGGAGAAGTGCAGAATGTGGGAACCAGCAGAACCAAACTAAGCAGCAAGTAACACAGGAGCTCACGTGAAGCCCCTGAGCAAGAAAACGTATGTCAGCTCTGAGGTGCAGATGACGGGGTTGGAACAGAGGAAGTGAGAAGGAGAGACGGATGGGAAGAGTCTTAATCATAAGGTTCAGGAGACCAGAGTATGTGGGAATCCACTCTGGGTTTCCTGTACCCATTGCCACCAAATGACAGTATCAGTTGAGTATCTCCCATGTGACTGACCCTAAACTAAGACTTACAGAGATTAAGACCAGTTGGTTTCTGCCTCCATTGGATATTCAAGCCATCAAGCAGAAACAGCTGGTGGTGACCGGTGCATTTCATGTTCTGTGTAACTTTAACTACACTGGCAAGTAGCTAGTCACGGAGACAGCATTTAAATGACTTTAGAGACGTTTTCTAAGATTCAGAGGTTTTGTTGGGAAAGGACGGGAAGATGAATATTTTCAGTGAAATGTGGGTCAAGCTCTAAGAATATCAACTGAAGTATATTGGTATGAGGAGAGTCGGTATCTCAGGGGTGATTAATGGGGGTGGGGAGGAAGCAAGCAGAGATTAAGAGATACTTAAATGCTTTCTTCTAAAAATGTCAATATGTTTGGAGAGGGTGCTCAAAACTTTGTCATTTGAGAAAGATATTTATGATCTTGTTCTGAACTTTGCTTACTTTATTTTTAGCTTCACACTATAGCCCCCAGCAATACTGAACTCAACTACTGGCTCTTTCTTGAACAAACCACACTATAATTTATCTCTTGGCCTTCACCAATGCTGTTTTCTGCACCAGAAACTTCCCTTTTCTCCCCTCATTAGCCTAATTCTTTCCATTTTCTAAGATATGTCTCAGATGGCATGTAATCTAGGAAACGTTAAATGATCATCCAAATCCTCTACTGGTAGGTCATTTTTCTTCTGGGTTTTTGTAGATTTCTGTTCACTTACATCATACATCGTGCAATTTTGTATTTACCTAATTCTGAGTCTATCTTTACTTCAAATTGAGCTTGTACAATCCAGGAACTGTGTGGTATTCATCTTTGTTTCTTTGTGTCTGGCACATAGTATTGGCCATAAATATTTGATGAATGAATGAACAGACAAACTTACCAAGAATGTTTGTGTCCTAAAGCTAAGACTCAAAAAAGACACAGCAGACGTCCCCTGTGTGTTGAGGAATGTGATATGGAAGTAGAGGCCATGTGCTGTGTGTGGTATACACGCCTTTGAAAGGATAGAAAGTCCTTCATGCAAGAGGTAGCTGGCTAGTCACCGAGTCTGAGGGAAGCAAGCGTCTATTTGGAGGTTAAAATGGATGACTTCAAAGGACTCTTTTGGGACTTTGGCTAGATATATAAAACTCCTCTTGCCAATAGTGAAAAAAAAATGCATTAGAAATCTTTAGCAGGGGAATAGATGATCACTGTTGCATTTTTAAAACTTATTCTGTGAATCAACATATCTTTGAAGAAATAGTGTTGGTAACTGCCTAGCAATATTTAATCACTGTTTTTAGAATTGACTAAAATATGAAGAAAATGATGACTATGGTATTTCTTAATATATATTCCCTAGTCTCCAAACTCACTCGGAGGAAAAGAATGAATGGATTAGGGGAATCCATAGTGGGAAGAGGTAGGTAGAGACAGTATTACTTCCCTGGTGTTTCTGATTTCAAAGGATCCCTGAAAGCTTTTGTGTTTCAATTAAAACTAGTCTGCCAGCTGGGTTTGACCAGTTACCAGGGTTCTTTAGACGAGCTCCATCTGAATCCACCTAAGGAGATGATTTAAAGAGCTCCCCCACCCCTTATTGCTCTCCCCCAGCCTTCTCTTTTAGGTCTTTGCTAAAAGCCAGCAGCATTTAGTGAAGAGAGAGACAGATAAAAAAGCATCAGTGAAATTGCTGCCTGCTGCTCTCCATGGCTGAATCACTTCAGTCCCCTGACAATCATCCCGAGCCTGCCAGCTGCAGGGGCAGATCTCAGATGCTCTCTCCTCCACGCAGCAATCTCTGTATGCAAACAGACCGACCCCTGGTCGACACTGTAGATCCTGAAAATTGTGACTAATTAACTGCATGTGGATCCTTGACACAGCCCATGGAAACTTTGAGGTGCCATGCTGATAACAGCAGCCCTGTACAGGGTTCTTGGTGGGCTGCTTTGTCCTTGCAGGTGGGCGTATTCCATGACTGATGAATGTCACTGGCGGGAAGCATTCTTTATTCCACTTCCTAAGCATCCACATTTGTTAATTCTTCCTCCAGTAGCACAAGCCCATGGCCTAGCAAAGGGCACTTTCCCTCTCATGTGCTACACACCATATCCTCTCAGGAAAAGAATCAGCCCAAAGGAAAGATGCTTTATCATTGAGCCATGGTTGCAAATATTTCAAATACAATGTCCCCAGGAAAGTTCCTCTTTTATTAAAAATTTATTACCCAAGTGAAAACTACTCTCAAAATGGGATTATAAAAATAAGAGGAAAATAAGTAGTGATACTGTAATCCCATGCCTTTATATAACGTTTTACTGACAAAGGATTTTTTTGACTTTTAGAATTTAAGTTCTATTTTTAAATACTGTTTCATATATAATTCACTTCTCAGAATTTTTCCAAAAGGAGTAATCAGAGAAGGGAGCAAAGGTTTCTGTTCAAAGGCTTGTAGCATTGTATTTCTAATGTTTATAAAAAAAATTACAAAGAAAAACAAACATCTATATAATGGAGAAAAGATTAAAAATATTATGGTACATCAATCTGAATGTCTGGATGTTTTGTAGTCATTAAAATTGTAGTGCCCTTAATAAGGATGGAAAATGTTTATTATACAACATGAGAGAAAAATATGAAATTTTAATTGTAGTATGATTACTACTGAAAATAATCAAAGAAAATAAATTATTTTCAACAAAAATTAATTAATAATGATAAAATTGCTTAAATAACTTAAACTAAGAATGTGACCTATACAAAAATTTTAAAGTTCCTAGTAAAACACTAAAAATATCTTTAAAGGGACTAACATTTATCACATGCTTATTCTTTAGTGAATAGGAATCTAGGTTTCTTACCTGGTAGATAATATTATTCTCTTCTCATATATTAAAAACAAAAATAAAAAACAAGCAAACATAAAATATGGAGGCTGAGAAAAGTGAAAATATGAATATAAAGCAAATAAAAACAGTAGATTTCAGATTCAAAACCAGATCTGTCAAGCTCCAAAGGCCATTTTCTTTCCTTTATATTACTTTGCCTTTTCTGACTTCAAAACACAATTTGGTGGGAGGGAAATAAACATTTTAGAAATAATAAAGCACTTTTTTATTTTTGGAAAGGATTTAAACTACTCTTATAAGTATAATGTTAATATTTCAAAATGTTTCTAAGTGGTAAGGTTTAGTAGAAAAGCATGGATCTGGGACATCTCGA